TCTGCATTTTAATCTGCCAGGAAAAAAAATATGAAAGCTCTCAGATATTCAGCAGAGTTCACTCATTTCATAGGAAGTAGGGGAGAAAAACTGGCTGTAAGCACTGTCAGAAAGGCATTATAGATATTGTTGTGCCAAGTTCCTTATAAATCAGTGTCTGGAAATTGCACATATAAATAAAACAGATTTTGCCTATTTTAATACTGAAATACAAGTTAAAGACCTTCCATAATTCATTGTTCATACAGGCAAAAATTTCTACCAAAGAAGGGAGTTCTACCAGCAAATCAGGAGAGCAAAGCCCATTCCAACCACAAGGATACTGGGGATAACAAGCTGGGAGGTGAAAGAGATTGTAAATTGAATATCAAAGGAAGTAGAAGACTGACAACTTTTCCATCTTCATCATATTATATCAAAAGTAGCAGAGTGAAAGCTGTCATTAGAATAAACAAAAGAAACTTCCACCAAAGTACAAAGCACTATGACAAAAGTCGTATGGGATGAAGAAGACAAACACTGTGCTCAATAGGGAATTCCTATCACCCATCTACACAAATCCACCAGAGTTAATGTGAGATTGTTATTGTCTGATCTGTTCTCTCATTTCAGCTATCAGACAGAACAAAAGGAGAAACAAGTAAATGCAGAAGCAGCAAATCTTTTGCAGAAGCAGTTGAGACAGAGGTAGCTTCATGCCAACCCTATCTCACTGTTTCAGCAATGGTTACATTTGCTGCTTGCTGCAATGACAAGCTCAAATTGTTGTCAATAAATGTTGATTTGTTTTCTCCTAATAGCAGTAAGCATCTCCCACTCAAAATCAATTTCAACTTTGTTGGCAAGACACTGCACATTTGTCTTCTCCACGACTGTGCTGCATAAAGGAACAATTGAATTGAAAATTAAATGAACAATAATTGCAAATAAAAACTGCCTTTTTAAAGGCAAATTAGTGCTGTGTTGAATTTCCTGGAATCAGTTATGTTGATGGGGTTTTTTTTCCTTAAAAGGTAGAATGAGTTGGGTCAGAACTTTATTTCTATAAATATGTACACATTAAGGTACATAATTAAAAATGGACTTTAAACTCAAAGGATACAAAGGCTCTTCTGTAACTTCCTAGGGTTTTAATTCTGGCAAAAGCAGCAAAGTTTCTGCAGTAACTATACTTCCAACACATTTGAATATGCTAATTAGATCTGAGTTCTAATTACTTTCTTTGTATGACCAAGAATGACAATCACAAAATGAATTTAATGCACTTTTGTTCTGAACTTAGTACCGTTTTCAATATTTTTAGGCCACAAAATGCAAATTAATTGAATGCACTTTTGTTCTGAACTTAGTGCTGTTTTCAATATTTTTAGGCCACAAAATGTAGAGTATGAAATTCTTTGCCTTATGGGATGGCCATGGTTTGTCACACAGAGTGTACAGAGCACACACTCGAATTACATTCGCTGCTTTTCACTGTGTTATTGCAGCTAATTCACTCCAGCAATTATACATTCACTGCATTTCACTTTATTATTGCAGCTAATTCACTCCAGCAATTAGCTTACTCAGCTCAAAGTGCTGAAGGACTTTGCCAGAGGAGTGATGAGGACCTGGACCATGTCTCCCTGGACAGCTGGACACACTGTAGAGGGATAGAAGAAGCAGAGATGGCTCCAACAATCTGCTGTCAGTCTTTGTGGTTGAATAAGAGCATGGAATGAGGAAACCAAGCAGTGACAATTTGTGCTTGTATTTAGAAATACCTATTAGAAAGAGGAGTCATTGCAAGGGATTAGTATGATGCCCCATACTCTTGTTCCTCCTTGTATCCTCTTGCTGCTTTCAATGATTTCTATTGGTGTTCTGAATCCAGTAGATCCTTGATTCAGTTATTATTGGAGATTAAAAATCTGCTCAGCATTACCCTGCTCATTCCCTGACAACAGTATAACCTTGACTTCAAAATAGCAAGACTTAGGACAGCTCTGAGTACTTCTGGAAATGGCAGAGGGAAATTACTGCATTGGCTTATGGCCATCATTAGGACAGCTCTGAGTACTTCTGAAAATGGCAGAAAGAAATTACTGCATTGGCTTATGGCCATCTTCTTTTGGGGAACATAAAATCATGTAATTGTTTTGATTGGAAAAGACCTTTAGGATCATGGAGTCAAACCAACTTCTATATCATTGCAGAAAGCTTTGGTTTTCAACTTTTTGAGGCACTCATTCCTTAAGGAGGCATCTTCAGAGAATTTATATGAATACATTGAAATTAAAAAAATGAGTAGTTGCTCTAAAATAATGAAGAAAGCAAACATTTCAAATTACCAGCTTCTTAAATGGTTGAATATGTTTACTTGAAGTTTGTTCCTTGTTTTCTGTCTCACCTTGAAAGACCTATGTGACATATGAACAAAGGCTTTTCACATGAAGGACTCAGAATAATGATTTCTGTGAATTCTGTTCAAGCACAGTCACCAAAGGTATTCCCCTTCTTTACAGACTATTGCAGCTATTTTGAGGCAACTTGCCATTTCTGTGACTCTGTGTGAAATTAGAGTAATGTTTTTTGATGTTTTACAGTTTATATTTCTCTCAGATTATGGAGCTGAATTCTCCAAGAGTCTTAGCAGAGACTACTGGACCCAGCAGCAACCTACTGATGTTAATTTTGGCTTTGTCAGAGGGAGCAAGACCCTTTGTCCTTTAAATAGGGACCATGAAAACCAGCTGGGTTTAGAAGCTTAAAGTGGTTACCTAAGTCAGATGATGAGCATCCCTAGAAAGATTTCATGCACAGTCCATGGGGAAGGCAATTCAGAGCAGGAACTGGGATCTGCAGGTGCCTCTCTCTGGCTGTGTAGTAGCTTTACATGCCAATATTGAGACTTTGCTTCTGTGTCCTCTGAAGTCAGTCCCTGTCCTTCTGTTGGGTTTTGGATTTAACACTGGTACAGTGTACAGACCAGCTCAATGTGGTAATGAGTTTCAAAAGTGAAACTGGCTATGTTTGTATGTGGTGCTAAGGGATGTGTAGTTGATTATTTGTTTCTCTATACCCAAGATAAGCATCTACCATCATATAAAAATGTAGGCAAGTTATACAATTCCTGTAAGAGGACTGACCAGCAAAGTCCCATAAGGGCAATGAGGAAATGATTCCTGCTTTCTCTTTCAGCTTGGCTGCTGGAATCCAGTCACTGGTCTGAATGGGTCACTAACAGACAGAAAGTTGGAGAATAACATGCGAGGAGTGGTTCTGCGTGTGGTGACTGTGCTGGTAAGCAGATCCTCATCCTTTTGTACTAACAAGAATATATCTTCTTCCTCTTACCTCATCTTTTTATTAAGTACACTATTTTACCAAGAAATTAGTTGGTGTTAGAGTGTGCGGTTTCAACTTCTCAATACCAGAACAATGGAGCGTTTTCCACAAAATAAAATTTATCAGTACAGCTCATTTCAGGGTGAATCAAACACATTAGAACCTGTTTCTGCCACAGACACATTCTAAATTAGATAGCACAAAGATATGAACTGATAAAGGGCAATTTCAAGTGCCCTGTTAATTAATGTTACCTTGCTGAAACTCTAAACGATTCAATTCCAATTACCTGGCCAAACTGAGTGCAGTCTGACACAAATTGTCAAGCTCTGAAATGTTCAAGTTCTGCTTAGGGGGAGTAACATTAATTTGCTAAAACATCTACTGTCCCCTCCTAGATTTTCTTCACCCAGGTTCTTCTCCTTTGTGGACATCTTGACTGAAGCAGCTGCAGCAATGTTCTTGGTTTAAAGCTGAACTATATCTAACAGAATGGGAAGGTATTTTGTGTTAGGAGGCCAATGTATTCCCTGCCATAAACTTTGGTTGATTGAGGAAAACTTGTTAGAGTATGAAAAAAATAAATAAGTAAAGCAAAATAAATTAATATGAGGCATATAGTCGTCTTTGGACAGATGCCCTAGCACAATATTGTCCCTGGGCTGCAGAATGTAAAGGTTATATTGAGCTATTTTCCTCTTGCTGTTACCTACTTGTGGTTTTAAGTACCTGTTAGTGTTTGAGGGCCTGACCACTTGCTTATAAAGAACAAGACAAGTTTTCACAGTTTGCATTGCTGACATTGCATGATGAAGGAAGAGGGTCAGTCAGGGGGAGAAAGTGAAATCACCAGAGCATGTCAGATCAGTTTTGTCCCCCTCCAGTTATTTTATGGATATTTAAAAGCTAGAGTGTCCACTCTGTTCCAGCTCTTAGTACACTAGAGAATTTCCTGTGATATTTACACAACAAAAAAACCCAAACTAAAACAGAAATCTAAAAAACCAAACTCACCCTCAGAAAAAAACCAAACAACAAAAGTAGCCAACCAAACAAGAAGGATGCATGCACAGAAAAAGAATAAGTAGCAAGGAGGGGATTTATACTTAATTGTATGTTCATCAAAATAGCATCATGGTGGCACTGACTGTTTTGCCTGATAGTCATATTAATTGATTCAGTATAATTTTGTGTTGACAAAAACAATCTGTGGATGTTGCCTAGAAAAATAAATTCAAATTAGAGTCTTAGATTTTTTTTCTTAGTTCCTCTTCTTTCTTCCCTCCCCACTCTGCTGCTGATTTATCCTGTTATCTTAGCTTGCCAGAGAGTATTCTTCTTTCAAGTCATTGTAGCATGAATATTTAGCAACTTGCAAAGATACAAAAAAATAATTAGTTATGCAGATAGGATTCTATACATAAATAAAAATCATAAAAACAAAGAGACATTCAAAGTTCAACACAGAGTACATGGCAGTTCAGTCTCTTCTTTTGTTTTATATCTGCTGGATAGGACAAAACTGGGGATTTATATTTAACCAGTGTGATGAAAGTGTGTGATTCTTGTCTTTGATGTGAGTATAGGAGGGATTTCACTGATTGACTTTGTTTTAGTGATGATCTTTATTATACTTTCTTTGCCATCTTTCTCCCAGTTCTTCAGTAAAGCCAATACATTTCTGTTAAAGGCAGAGAATCTATACAGACTAAGAATGATTAATTATTGTTATTAATTCTGCCAATTTCTAACAGTATGATCCTGATCTGGGGAAGCAAGAAGGCTTGTGTTAAATAATAATACCTTTGAATATTAATAGGTTTCTTTTTCATTGAGATTTGAGAAGTTAACATTAATTTGTTAATTTGTTCTGTTAATGCTTCAGATTTCTCATGTCTTTCTAGACAGCAACACTTCTCCTCTTCCAATTTCATTTTGTTATGCCTTCAGGTTGGAAAGGACTTGTTCTAAAAATTGCAGCAGAATTTGAGAGGATAGCAAGTTGCAACACCTAAGTTTATACTGTATTATATTTACTACAAAATGTCACATTCTGGAGTCTGAAAATGATAAATGATTGTGACTAATTTCCTCAAAGAAGTCTTTGAATAAGCAAGTGCTGAATAATTCCCATTATCCACATCCATCTACTAATTCCTTTCCCCAGAAAAATTTAATAATTATGGGCTACATATCTGCAGATTCAAAACAAAATCTCTTTGTGAATATGACAGAATACAGTATGGCCCCAAATTGGAAATCGTCTGGTTTCATTTGGCAGGGAATTCTGGCTCCTCTGCAGTTAATGTGAAATCTCTCCCTTGCATAAATACTAATAAGAAATATTTTTTTTTTAGTTTATTCTAAGGGGAACTGTAGTCATGTTTGTGTACATATGATTGAACATTTTAATCTGAGTTGGATTAATACCACACTTTCTGCACTTCTAGAAAAAGTTTATTTTGTTTTACTTAAATATGAGATGTCTCTGTCCCAGACTGCTTCCACACATGCAGCTGAAGTTTAAACTTTCTGTTTGGCAAGTTACTCTTAAGTTCAGGTGACTTGCTGGTGGATTTCTGAAATGTATTCTGAGTTTCTGAAATGTAGCTCAATCAAAGGTCAGCATAATAGTTCCAAACAAATTCAGAGTGTCTTGGATGAACAATTGCTCAAGAACAAATTTAGCTATATATCCATTTTTCAGTTTAGCCTCCTCTTTTTCAGCTGTTCAGATAGATTGAAAAAGAGCTATAGTACAACAGATATTCTCATCACTTTGCTAGCAATGCCAATTAATGAATTGATTATATGAATGTTAAACCATTAGAAATGGGATGAGATTTGGCCCATTTGACAATGAATAGGCCAGCAGGTATTTGCAAAATCATGTTTCTAAAGAAGCCCCTGTTGTACAAAAAAGGAAAACTTTGAATTTCCCTGTATCAATGCCTTCACTGAAAAGTACAGAGCCTTTTCTGACAGTGTATAAAGTATAATATCCTAATGGTGCAAAAGATATTTGTGACTTTACGTGAAAATTCTTACTGCTCCCAAAGAGGAAGCATGCATTTTCATATCTGGAGGGTTCTGAAAATGCAGGCTGGGTGAAGGAAAGAAGCATAATAGCAAAACATACTGAATTCTGCTTTGCTCTACCTCCCTATGCACTATTTCTTGAGAGTTGCTGCCTAAGTTAGTTGCATAGAACTGCAGTTTGGTGACCCTTGGCACCAGGTGGGCACTGTGGGACATGATGTAGTGAAAGGACTGGCAGAAGGGTATACAGGCATAGTGAAGAAAAGAAAAAAGAAAACATCATTTGCACCATGGAAAACGTTACCATATGTGGAGTACTTTAATTCTCAGTGGTTGGCATTAAATCCATGAGCCCAGATTAGGAAAGAAACTTGAAGGCAGACAATGTCTTTAGAGACATGAGCTGTCAGGAGCTCTGCATCTTCAGTCCCTTTTTCGATTGAACTTATTGCTCAGAGAAAAGATGAAAAGTAAAATAGGAAGCTAAGTCCTGGTTTTAAAAGCTGAAACTGTCCTTGGGATTCGATGTCCAACACTGGTTTAAAAAAGTTTAAAAAATGCCTCTCCAAGAAGCTGGAGTAGCTTTCAGAGTGATCAGAGATATGACAGGCGTAAGAGAGATGAAATAAGATAATGTTTAACCATATGCAGAGGAATGAACAGTCAGAAGTAATAAAGGATAAAAAAAGGCAGGACAAAAACATCACTGAATGACTGTAAAATAAAGATGAACTGCAGAAAAGATTATGTGCAGGATATCTCATAAAATACTGAATAAACATTTTATAATAGTGTAGAACACTCTCATAGATAATGTCTCTTCTACTTTCCATCCTCGTTTTGGTGATCACTTTTCTCATGCAGTCCTGATCCCCTTCTATATTTTCACAATTGAGTGATGTGGACTTCTGTGAAGCCTTCTTCATCCTGTCAGGTTGTGCTTTCTCTGCACCAGTGCCTACAATATTTTAAGAAAAACAAGTTTAATTAAGGCACGTATTATACTAAATTGTATATTGCTCTGTGTATCAACCTTATTGGTATATTGCACTATAGTGCACCATAGTGAATTAATTTCTTATGGCACCTGAAATGCCCCAGGAGGTGGTAAGGTTAAGAAACATTCCTTACCTACCTTCATCACTTGTAGCATTTGTGTTTTGAGCTGACATATTTCAGTCATTTACCTCTAAGAGATAAATCTTTCTTTGATTTATACATCTGAGTTTGAATGGCAGAAAAGCTGTGTGATACAGTTTATTCTATATGCAGTCTGTCTTAAAATCACTATGTACTACGACTCAGTAATGTATTTATTCTATACTGTGTAATACCACTTAGTATATACCATGTGTGCTGTAGTTAAAATATTTCAAAAATACTTGGCAATATTTCAACACTACTTTTCCCTTCCATGTATGCAGACATCATGCCTATGTTACATGCACATCAAGGTATTTAATATACTTGGGTGCTTTATGAAAGAAATGGAATTTTTTACATAGAATAGAACCATAGACTCATAAAAGGAAAATGGAATTTTTGATGTAGAATAGAACCATAGACTCATAAAAGGGTTTGGATTTGGAGGAACCTTTAAAGGTCATCTAGTCCAGCCCTTCTGCAGTGAGCAGGGACCCCTTCAAATAGACCAGGCTGCTCAGAGTCCCAGCCAGCCTGACCTTGAATGTTTCCAAGGATGGGGCATCTACTGCCTCTCTGGGCAACCTGTTCCAGAGTTTCACCACCTTCATTGTTAAAAAATTTCTTTCTTATATCTAGTCTGAAACTACCTGCTTTTGTTTTAAAACCTTGTCCTAATGGCCCTACTAAAAAGTTTGTTTTATCATTGTAG